GTGTTTAGTTAAAAAATCGTTTAGACGAGGTCTAACCTAATATAAACACAAGCTAAGTCAATAAATACACAACATTACATTACTGTGGAAGAACGTTGGCTGAAATATTCTGTCCAATTACCTACAAAGTTGAAATTATTCATAAATGAAATGAATTTTACGCCTTATTGGAAAAGTATTGATAAATCAAATTCGAAATCTTGCTGCGCTTCCCTCTTTTTTGATGAAGTACTGTATCACAATGTCGCGCAATTGGGGCATGTTTTATTGGGACTTTACATTTAATTTTAAGTTTTTAGGGCTACTACTTGGCCATCGTATAAATGTCCTTACTAAATGCTCGCTCCTATCAGGCTATATTGTGCTAAATTGTTCCAGTGCTGGGGCTGGATGCAAGGCTTAGATTTTGGGTATCTGAATTGCAGGATATTTTGGTATTATTTATGATTTGTTATGATATAATATTATGTATATTTAATTAACTTTAGGGGACATAATTTCAGTATCCATGCGTAGGTCCAGTATTCGGAAACCATGTGATACGACACCTTGCAATTCCAGTGCCGACAAACTATGTTAAGCTGAATGCATAACATTACGTTTCTAAATTCTTCGTATCAGTTCATAAAATAGTTTATTATTTTTTTATTATATGAACTGAAAAAAATTTCTAAAGATGACGAAATGCCGTTGACGCCAAGTACTTACTGTAAATTTGGATACTGCATTTCACCTTAATAAAATATTATTCAGTAAACAATACGCAAATTAAAATGCTAATACTGAGAGCGATACAAATACCAATTCCATCAAACACCTCAAATAATATTTAAATACGCAAAAAGTGCAATAATTAGGATTTGCTATTGCAAAGAATTGTATTATAACAAGCATGGTCCACAAAGTCGCGATAACTGAACGTCGCCGTGTACGTATATTTAATTTCAATAATATTTGAAAGTTAATCTTTTTTCTCTCTAAGAACTCTTTGAAAATAATGGAAGTGTCTATGCGTGCCGTACAAAAAAAATAAATAAGAATAAAGAATTTTTCCTAAATCTATTTTATACTTTACCTTCGTCTTGTCATTCGCCCCTGGCCCATTCGAAGAGGACATATGCTTCTTGCTCACGTAGCCGACAATCTATGGAGTTGAGTATGTCTTAAATATTTCAAATTTTCTTCAATAATTCAGTTTTTATTTTCTTTTGATAGGTAATTTTGCAAAAAAAATAAAGAAGAATCAGATGTTCTGATAGTGGTGGAATAATATTATTCAAAGCAGTGCAAAAAGTTATACTAATCGCATTGCCCGTTTGCCATTGATTTTCAACGTTTTACTCTCTTAGTCTCATTTAAAAATACAATGAATAGTGCATTATTATCTAATCCTTCTATATATTCATACCTCTTCATCCTTTTTGAATGCAGGGTTCTCGTAGGCGTAAATTGGCACCGCCTGACCGAGTAAGAAAATCCATCACGGTACATCATAAGTAAATCCTCATGAAGGGAATATAAATTTCGGTTATTGGAAAATAACATTAGAAACGTGATTATTTGTATATTAGCTCTCTATTATCTAAGCGGTTTCATGAACGTTGAGCTATCATTTATTTCAACTTCAGTGGTAAAATAATTAAGAAAAATCTAAAATTACAACTTTTTCCCTCTCCAAGTTTTCCGGAAATTCAACTCTGAAACCGTCTGGGTATCATTTTCGATTTGATAACATAATTAATTTTATTCATATAATTTTATTCATATAATAATTATATGAATAAATTTTTTATTCATATAATTTTCATAATATAATATACTTTTTTTATTAATTTATAATTAATATAATTTTAGAATTTCAATTTTCACTCATTAAAATAAACAATCTGAAACTTTTCGAAAACTCAGTGGTTATGGACATGAGGTATAGCGAAAAGAAGATGATATAAATGACACTTGTCCATAAAAAACATGCACCATAAATGGCGGCATGACAGGTGCGAGTCATAAAATCGATGAGCTCATCCAAACATTGTTTATTTCCACGATCATTCATATATCTCCAATACATATTATCTTACTGAAAATAACGGTCTAGTTTTTAGTTATACAAATTGAAACAGATTTCGGGGACATAATTTCAGTATCCGTGCGCAGGTCTAGTATTCAGAAACCATGTAATACAGCACCTCAGAATTCCAGTACCAATAAACTGTGCTAAGCTGAAGGCTTAACATTACGCTTCTATATTCTTATTCTATCAGCCAGTTCATCAACTAGTTTCTTATTGTTTACTATCTTGACTAAAGAAAATGCCTAACCATGACGAAATGCCGTTGACACCAAGTACCTGAACTAAATTTGGATGCTGCATGCCTCTCTAATAAAATATTATTAAGAAAACTATACGCAGGTTAAAACGCTAATACTGAAANTGTGCGCTTGCATATGGTGTTAAAAGAATTAGAAAATTTAGTTTATTGTATTATTATTTTTGTACCAGAATCCTTTGATTTTAATATTGTGATTGGTTGTTTACAGAGGTTGGTGTTCATATTCAACCCTATAACGAAATGCATTTACTACCACGATGATATTGAACAATATTCAGCAGTCCATAGTCATCAAGTACAATCCCAAATATTTAATTACTAAATTCGAATTTATATACGAAAATATTTGCTAGTTGAAATCATTAGTTTCGTTTTCCTTTAAAGAAATTTGGCATCAAATTGAAATAAAATTTTATGGCTCTTCTTCCAGTTTAGGAAGTTCTTGGATGTGCTGCAGCCAGGCGATCCGATATTTCTTCTTCTTAGGCCCCCACGTAGGCTTTGGTCTGAACACGCTCATCACTTTCTGTGGAGATATTTTATGAATGTTAGTATCAGCTCAGTCAGTATCAGCTCAGTCAGTATCAGCTCAGTCAGTATCAGCTGAGTCAGTATCAGTTGAGTCAGTATCAGCTGAGTCAGTATCAGCTGAGTCAGTATCAGNAGCTCAGTCAGTATCAGCTCAGTCAGTATCAGCTCAGTCAGTATCAGCTCAGTCAGTATCAGCTCAGTCAGTATCAGCTCAGTCAGTATCAGCTCAGTCAGTATCAGCTCAGTCAGTATCAGCTCAGTCAGTATCAGCTCAGTCAGTATCAGCTCAGTCAGTATCAGCTCAGTCAGTATCAGCTCAGTCAGTATCAGCTCAGTCAGTATCAGCTCAGTCAGTATCAGCTCAGTCAGTATCAGCTCAGTCAGTATCAGCTCAGTCAGTATCAGCTCAGTCAGTATCAGCTCAGTCAGTATCAGCTCAGTCAGTATCAGCTCAGTCAGTATCAGCTCAGTCAGTATCAGCTCAGTCAGTATCAATTCCCGTCTCAGTACTCTATCCGCCAAATGCTTAGTGTATCACTAATGGGCGAACTCAGTATCTATCAGTAAGTGCTGCTATATGTATGGTCAAACCATGACACTAAGTCTGTCTATTGCTTATTGAGATTTTTTAGTTGTATTGAAGAAAATATTTCTCTACATTTTTATTTGTAAAGAATTTTTCTCTTCATTTATAAAGAACCAAATATAGAGACCCGATCCGACAGTCCAGTTATGCTTCTATTTGCTACGGCATGACTAGAGATTAGTCAGCGTGACTTCATAGTTAACCTCAAATAATTATCTTTCCTTCACGTCTAAATGCAAAATTCCTAAATCTACTGGGTAATTGAAATAATATTCGTTTTGTTGAATATTTCATGAGAATTAAGTTTGTTCTGGTATCGATTCGCATTCTTATTCAGATATTCATTAGGGTCATGGCTAAGACTTTTCGATAATAAAAATTTTCAATTCTATTCATTTCTAAAATTTATGTTCATCAAAAATGTCCAACATGACTGGTAGTTGCCTCTCAACAAAAATTGAGAATCATATCTCAAAATTGTTTCCTGTTTTTATTGATATTTTATTACTTTGAATAATTGAAAAAAGACTCACATACGTATATTCCGCCTAAACTCACCTCTGACAATCCAGCTCCAGGTGCACAGTCGGCGATCCAGACGGCGTGCAGGAATCCAGCTGGAATGACCAGCAGGGCGCCGACCAGGAGCGCGTAGCCGCAAGCTGCGGCACATTTACAGTTATATTTTATTATTATTTATTAGTTATATATATTTAAAGTTTTATCAGTTATATTTAAGGTAGAAAAATGTACGAGTTTGGCTACTCTTATATTGTTCAGACGATGAACAAAAAGATGCACAGCTGAAGTTGTATTATTTTAGAATAAATTGAAATTTTCAGTAGTTGGAGCTGGGTCTGGAAGATAAATTTCGTTTCGACTAATCGGCCAAAGAACTTCTCATTGATCAGGAAGCAGAGTTTAATATGCATTTATTTGTAATTAATGCATATGAAATATAAACTTACAATACGCAGCGCTCGGTAGATCAGCATCGTTGTGGCGCGGTAGTTTGAAATCGAACAATGAGTAGACCAGGATGGCTGTTAGACCAAAGGGCACGACGACCGCCCAGCACAGTTTCCAGTAAATGCCCAGGTCAACGTCAAGCATAAACTTGAAGTCCCTGATAAGATTCCTTAGGCCTGCTTGACATATATTTAAATGTATTAGTGAGCAAATATTATGGGATGATTTAGGAAATTGTTGTAAGTTGCAATTTACCATGATGGAGGAAAAATATGTTGAATTATTGAATCAAATCAAAATAAAGACATGCTAGAAAAAAAAAGCACAATTAAAAAGTTAGAAACTTCAAAATTATAACAGAATAAATAAATGTTTCAAGGGTGGCTGACCGAAAAAACTGTAAACCATTAAAAAATTACAATCAGAATTATTTTGTCATTTCCGACGATCACAAAGTTATTCATGACCGAGTAGATCACGAAGGCTCTGTTCAGATCTCACCGTATATGTAACAGATCGCTGAAGTCTCAACAACGGCTAATACGAAAACGATTGTACCGCCAGCAAAGAAGTCGACCAAATCCAGAATGTAAAGGCCTTCCTGTATGATTTAAGGCCAAAGTTAGGGTAAAATTTCGAAATTTTTTGATTGCATACGCATTTTCGTTAACTTTTCAGTGAAAAAATTACTTGCAATATTATTCACGAATAATTGTTTTGAAAGATCAACATAAAGTTTTCATTCAAATTAAATTGATCCTGACATGTGAGAGGTCTTTCAAACATTAAAGAAGAAATCAGCTACAGAATTTATTATTCAAATCATCCACTAAATCCATTTCACCAGAGCAAATAAAGTGGAATTTGTAAAAATTATCCTCCTCCCGGCGTAAAAATTTCTCTCCAGAGACAAAAAGTCATGGCAAGGAAATAAAAAAAAATCATTTACTGGTGTCAGGTATGGTTAATTGGAAAAATTTCATTTTAGTCAGGTTAATTGGACCAGATTAAATTTTACCGATGTCAGATAAATTCAACCGGACAAAATCCGGTGCAAAAGACGATGGTGCAAACGACAGCCAATTCGTGACAGTTATTAAAAAAATAATTAGCAAGATTTAAATCTCCTTCCCATCGCTATCCATTAACAATTTTTCACCAGAGTAAATATGCACAAAAGTGAGCCTTTTACCGGAGTCAGGTATATTAGGCCGGTCAAAAATCCGGCGAAGCAGACGACTGCGGACACGACGGCCTTGTTCCAGTGGGGGAACTGATCTAGAATGACGGTGATGACGCCGTTTGTGAGAGCCGTGGCCGAGCCAAGACCCAGGGTGAACAGCATCATGAAGAACAGCACCGCGAACAACTGCTCAAGAAATTGAAATTTTTGTAGTGGAAGTTTCAAAAACTACTATAAAAACCTAAGGATATAGCGAGTATCGAAGCAGATTATTTAGAGGGTGAGTACACTGTTAAGACCATTTAATCTGAAAAGGGCTATCGGAAGGTAGACTAATGCTTGAATAAGACGTATAATTCAGGCCGTTGTTTTAAGAAGTGAGTAGTGTAAATACTTCAACTATCGTGCAAATTGAGAAGAGAGCTGCATGTCATATCGTTTCTCAGTAATTTTACACGCATCCATCCCCAAAAAAATTTTATATGTTTTTATTATTTGCAGAAAATGTATTCGACGTAAAGACTATCAATCAATTTTAAATTATGATTAAATAATTAACATAACATCATAACATAGCGATCTCGGCGCTGAAGTGTAGACCTGAAGGGGCCTGTCGCCGATTGTTCGAATCACCTAAAAATCGATGCTTTGATTTGACGCTAAATTCACCTGAGGTACGTAATCGAACTTAGCGATGGCAGTTGGGTACGTGATGAAGGCTAGCCCCGCCCCCCCTTGCACTACATCGTCAAACGAGTCAGCGTTGATCTCGTGCTTGAGGTTGCCCAGTATGGAAAATATCGTCAGGCCCGCCAGCAGCGATGTTCCAGTATCCATGAAACTGATGATCAGCGAGTCTCTGTAAAATTTCGAAGGAGAAATTGTTGGCTATCATTCAAAAAATGAAGTAATTACGGAACGAATGAAAGTTTACACATTCCTGGTAAAAACTGGTCGAAGTTGCCAGTAGATGCCAGGGCAAGTAGACTCGAGACAATAGATAATTTTCTCTGAATAGTCATGTAAACTCACTAAAAATTAGCGATAAGCAAGAAAAGTAGTTGAAATCTCATGGCCAAAGTAAAGTTACCAGGATGGCAAAATTAGTTGAGAATCTGAGCTCATGGAGGTTTAAAATAATTTATTAAAGACGTTTCTCCATAATTAAATTAAAAATGTAATTTGTAGATAATCAATTGGTTCAGTTTTTACTAATCTTATAAGTTCAGTTTTTACTGTTTGATTAATCGTACAGTGCGTTGATATTTTCTTTTACTTCGTCAGAGATGTAATTTCATTTACGTAATTCATACGAATCCATGTCAGTCAACCCTTTTTACAGCTTCAAAGGTGTTAAATTCTTTACTTACCTATAAACATTGTGTTTGAAGTCATTGTAGCTCGAAAACATTGGAATGGATCCGAAGGCCACCGACAAACTGAAGAAAGATTGAGTCACCGCTTGATACCACACCTACGACAACAAAGATTTATGATGAAATTTTCTTGTAGGAACGAACGAAATTAGGGATCATTTTATTTTGTTATCTGTGATGTAATGAATTCATACTGATAAATGTAATGATAAATGTAAATGATCAGAAACCTGATTAGCCATAAAACAGTCATAATAGCCATAATAATTAAATATAACAAGCTCCTCAAACAGCATTATATGGTGAAAAATTATCCATATCCACAACGTATTCTATTAAACATCTATTAATATTATCTATAATAATATTCCCCGGCAAGCGCCAATAAGGTTTATAATGTAGGATACAGAAATTGCGAAGAAGCATGGATATTTTGAGCGGCACCCTCCATGACATACTATTAATTCCGATTCAAGATTTGTGTTATCTGTTGGTCAAGAGTCGCCATTTCAGGGGCACATGGATCGTGATCGTTGGAAAACCGATTGTTTCGTTTATTGAAACGTTTAATTGAAGCGTTAATCGTAACGTTCACTGAAACATGTCGTTCTGTAGTAACTACACAGAGACGTTTCCTGAATCATTTAAACATTGGCTGACATGATTGTAGTTCGATGGAACGGCAATGAAAATGAAACGGCAATGAAGCGGGTTAAGAACTTTGCTGGAATTAGTGCCGAAATCGGATCGATTTCCGACTTGCACTCATAACAATGGTTCTCCATCTCACGCGACGTTTCATTGAAACCATCCGCACTTCCTTACCGGACCCTAAATTTCTCTTTGAAATTTCACATCTCGTCTCCAAGACGGAATGAGAGTTCATGATGTAGCCTTGGCTTTATCCCAAAGAATAACTATACAATTTGAGGCCGTTTATGCTGTAGGTCTAGTTTTCTACCCTCGAATCTCTACCCTCTTCTACCCTCGAATCTCTACCCTCTTCTACCCTCGAATCTCGCCATCTGGCAGTACTGCTAAGGATGATGATATCATAATTAATGTTCACGTTTCCGTCGAGGAGTCTCTCCCACTGAGGAGTGAGGAAGTACATGATGCCATCGTAGGCCCCCGGTAGCGTCACGCCCCTGCCTAGCAGCGTGAACAACACCAGGTACGGGAACAACGCTGTGAAATACGCCGTCTGTAACGTCCAATTGAAAACACTGTTAATTACTGGAAAATTCACGTGTATTTTTATTTGGTTTGAGCTACAGCATTATTCACATGAGACTTTTCACAGAAAAACCATAAACTGGTTAATTATTAGCAGATTCACATATATTTTTATATGGTTTAAGCTATAGCATGAATCAGAAGAAACCTTTCACAGAAAGCCAATTGATATTTTACTCGTCAGATTTAAAGGTTGAGATATAATATATCTCCCAAAAATTAACACTTCGAGTTGACGAACCTTGCCCGCAGACTGTACGCCCTTCACGAGCGTAAAGAAGAGGACGAGCCACGAGCCAGCCAGACACAGCGCAAGCTTCCAGTCCGGTTTGCCTATGCCTGATGTCCACGTCGCGGCCTCGTGGACCACGTAACGTCTGAGAGGAAATTTATTCTCCAATTTATTAGAAATTGATTGAGGTGGAAATTATTTTCATTGTTCTAGTAGCTGACTCTTCGATGTATGTTAATTTTTGCATGAAAAATTTGATCAGCAACATTCATTTAAAGTTTAAACGAAGAAAACGATATTCACTTTAACTTGTATCAGCGTTTTTATTATCTTTGAGTGATTAGATTTATCAAGCATTAACGTAGCTAATTCACTAATACAAGAAGTTACGAAATGTAACATACACCTAAATGTCTAAGTAACGTTACTATTTTTATTTGGATTTATGTTCAAGGTACCTGAAGAACTGTTCAGAGCTGCTCTGTTTTGAACTGTTCGAGCTGAAGCCCAGGGATGAATTGGAAGACACGGCCACGCAAGAGTCCATAGCCGCCCATGCTGGGTCGCACACTGACCACGGCAGCTCACTCTGACCAGTGCGTTAATTTGAATTTAGACACAAAATTTCTACGTCAGGTGAAATTTTTCCTAAGAATACATATTTTTTATAACTTAATATGCTCCTTGAAATTCGTGATAGGGAAGCAAATTTATTTTAATTATTATTTCATATTTCTAAGTTTTGCTGCAGGTATAGTGAACCAGTTTTTAAATACTGTTTGTGCTTTAGAAACTGCTGTTGAGCGCGTTTTCTAGCAGGTATCAGGTATAGTGGTAGATAAAAGCACTGTGAGGTTTCCAAAATATCCAGGTCCAGCAAAGTATAAAAGTTTTGTAACGTAAGTTGAATAAACGAAAAAAAACAATAAGCCTATTCTGGGAAATGAACCGTGAGAATGACGATGTAAGGTCATGAACTTGTGACGTCATGAACTTGTAAGGTCATGAGGATGTAACGTCATGATGACGTAACGTCGGAACGATGTAACGCCAGAACGATGTAAAGTCACGACGATGTAACGTCACGACGATGTAACGTATGACGATTCAAAGGATCTAAAATAATGTAGTCACCTGGAAGCTAACACAGAAGTAGAAGACGGTCAAAGCCATAAGAGAAACGTAGTAAGTCAGGATCGCTGCCGTGGCAACCACTTGTGAGTAACCAACGCCTGAAATTGCGAACATTAAAAGTAAAATTTTCAATCAATTCAATACAATTCAATTTTATAATTTGTATTATTAAATGATTTTGCAGTACATCCGTAAATTGATTTCTAGAATTAAATTTGTTATGTTGTGCTTTCATCATGGCAACTGATTACAGTAGATGTCATAAATTTTCCAATCGTTTTAAAAGGACTATAAGGATAGTGGAGTTTTATAACAATGATGTATACGTCAGGAAGATACGGACGGACAAACCACTCAAAGAAAATAGTGATAAGTGTTTACACAGTTCTGCAGCACATACGCAGAACTGTCTAGACGTAATGTTATTGCTCACAAGAACTTTAAAAACTGATGCCAATGCACCTTCTATTCCCTTCGACTCGATATTGTGCAAATTACGAATCATATGTTGCAAATTCTGAACAATGTTAAAATGAAACAATTAAGTTTGATAAATGAGTACTACTACAATAATTATTTATTGTTCGAGCACGAGTATTCAAGATCTTGCATGCAGATGTTGAGTTCGTGTGAAAGCAATCATTTACAAAATTTCCTTATTTAAATTCTGCTTTGAATAAAGAACGACAAATGCCGAATAAATGCAAGTTTAGTCACTAGAGTTGCTTGGTAAAAGTCCCAAGTACGTATTTTAATTCTAGTTTGGGCTTATTATTATATTATATTATACTAATTATTCATAATTTAATCCTAATGTATGAACAAATTATAATACAAATTTGACGCATGTTTATCAAAACCATGGATGTTGGGGTAAAATAAATGCATATATAATTTGGGTAAAGTAAAGGCTTGTGGTAAAAGAAATGCACTACTGGAGCAAGAGAAATGCATTACTGGGGTTAAATAAATGCGTAATTGTGGTAAAATAAATGGATTACTGGTAGAAAATAATTCATTATTGCGGTAAAAATACCTACCTTTAATTGCCGGTACGCACTTCCACAGTTTGATGCATCCGTAGGAACTGAACTGGCCCAACGAAAGTTCCAGGAAGTAGAGAGGCTGTAAAGACGAAAAATAAAACCTTATTGGGTGGTGGGGATATCAGGAACCTAGAACTGAAGTGATCCATCAAATAAGAAATTTGAAACATCAACGGTGTAGTTTGTCTGCTCGCAACTTGAAACGATTCACAATATATTACCATGTTTAAAGTTTTGAACGTGTTTTAAAACCCATCCGCGTAAATATTTTGCTGAATAAAAAAGTCTTGCTGCAAGAAATTAACTTCACTTATTTATTCTTAACTTAAAATTTCTAGAAAGATGAAGTAGTTTAATCAATTCTTTATTATATGCGCAATGAAAAAGAAATCGTTGCACAGATTGAAAAGATGAATTCAAACAAATTTACCAATATCCGTTTACTATTTCAACCAGAATTGAAATCTTCGGTACAAAAATTTTTCGTTGTATTCTACCTCCTTTAAATACCACACTCTCGGAAAGTATCGTTTAGTTGAGCTATTCTAAACTAACAAAGGAATTAAAAGTTTCAAGTTTACCCTCCCAATGAAGAGAAGCACCACAAGGTAGGGGATGAGGAAGGCTCCTCCCCCGTTCTTGTACGCTGTGATGGGGAACCGCCAGACATTCCCCAAGCCCACCGACAACGCGATGCACGACAGTAAAAACTCGATAGGATTGCTCCACTGTTGTCTTCCTTCCCCTTCTTCATCACCATCTTTTACGTTGGCTATGGAGATTTCATCAGAAAAGCACTTATCACTATTTTCTTTGAGTGGTTTGTCTTTATTCGAATCATGAAAAGTTGTTCTGGAGACGTTAGGAGAGGCGAGAGAGCTGGCACTTTCCGGGCCTTCTCTTCTCCTAGACGTCGAGCCTGAGTTCGTGTAGACGCCAGGCAGATCTCCCTGTAGGAGAAATCAAGGAATATAATTGTCATTAATCGGTTTAAACGACTGAAGATAAACAAAGAATAATTTGTTTCATAATTATTGTAGTTGAGCTCAATAATCTTAATCTTAGCTGTGAATGGCATCTTGTCTTTTTTACGAATAACAATTTTAATGAGCATGGTACTGATAGACAAGCTCGGCGACTGGGAAGACTTAAAGCTAATTGGAGATAATAAGAATACTTTGTAAATTGACAAATTGTATAGTAATTGCTGTCACTTGAATAATTATTATGAAAGTTAATAACCATTAGTGTAAATAAATGTGAGTAATAAATAAATCGAAATAGTTAAATATTAACTATAAGATCTTCGAAATCAGGTATCATTTCCTTATTTTATAACTTCCGCTTAGGAATTCAGATAAGATTGTCGTGTCTAACTTTACGGCGTTGGGTCGTAAAGTTCGTAGGGTCGTAAAGTTCCTCTACCCTTTGCGTCATAACTTTATCGCGGAAAATATTTGGTTAGTTGATAACGTATTATAAAGGTCAGGGATATAAGAATGATTTATAACAAATGTTCGCTTTTACTCACGTGGTCTATGATACCAAATTTTCCTTCAGTGTCGTCGTACGAAATGTTTACTTTCCCTCCACCATTCTGTGAATTACAGAACATTCAGCTTTAGAAAATTTATCATATGGAATTTTTCCAAGTAATCATAGCTTAAATATGAATTTCAATGCGATCTACTTCTGTTTGCATTTCTACATGGTCCTAGTAAATAAAATTACAATCGCTTTTAATTTTGTTAGTAATTGTGTTCTATGTTTCCTTATAGGTTATAATGGTTTCATTTCTGAGTTCTTTTAATATCTGAACTTTTTGGGTATAGATTGGAAAGTTATTTCTGCTGTGAAATTCACTCACCCGACCAAACTGAGTGATATGGTCGGACCTCATCTTGGCGTAGGTTTAGAAGTATTAAGTTTTGAATAGAATTTCATGTGTACTTCATTTTAACTTATTTGTACTAAGATAATTCGGTTACGTATACGCTTTGCATGTTTCAAAACTCTTAATGTGGAAGTCTAAGCCTTTTGAAAATCAACTACATCAATCAACTAAAAATCAAATTACATCAACTCTCTGTTATTTTCCGTATATTTCAACAGCATCCTTATCTCCGTAAGGCCGCACTACGACTGTTCAGTTTGAGATTCGATGCACTCGACGTAAACCGTCTTCTCGTCCTTCGAATTAGCTGGAGAGAACACCCCATGTCACGGCTGAGGTGACTTATGCATCTTCCTGCTGCAGGTTTTTCATCACTCAAGGTGCGACAGATTTGTTTTCAACAACAGACACGCGCACAAAAGCCCTGACACGAGAGCTGGGTTGCCTTGCAATGAACTTTACTCATTTCAGGACACGCTTGGACGATCATGATGGTGTTTGCCAAGATTCAGTGGTCCATGTTTGCCTAGATCGCGTGTCCATGTTTGCCTAGATCACAGGTCCGTGTTGGGCTTGATCAAGGTCAGTCGAGAATTGTTTGACTCTCTTTTGTAGTCCTGGTAATATGACTCACGTTCTCATTTTCCTATGTACTGGATGAAATTTTTGCATGAATGCTTCACGTGTTATCACGTGTGTAAGTAATAGATTTCACCGTGAAAAAATTTTCACATAGTGTCATGGATGCTATGCACTGGACAAAATAATCGAATGATTTCGTTGAGTATCATCATACACAAGTAATAGGTTTAACTGAAAAAATTTGTTATATATTCTCATGAGTCCAGCAATAATTTTTTACTTCCAGAACATCTTTTGAATATTCTCGAAGTCTTCCATAGAAGGAATTAGGTAAATGAGATATGTTTACAATTTTTAAATTTCCTAAATATTTCCATCGGAGATATAATAGAAGCCGTATAATACTTTTGCCATTTTATAAATTTAGCGGAAAATTTCCGTTCAATTATTGTCGCTCTCAAGACTACGGGCGTGTAAGAGGAGTCGCGTTCATTGCCATGTTAAGTGGCTACAGTTCTATTAAATTTCGGAAATTTCAAGGCAGAGTCGTAAGTAAATACAGCAACAAGTAGTAAGAGTAACTATTATAACAAACTTTCTGTCATTCTGAAATTGGATGGTCATTAATTATATTGCTCCATTGATTCGTCGCCACTAATATAAAAAGAATTATTTCCCCGCATAACTGAGCATTATTTTATGTTATCTTGTATGTCGCGGGATGTAATGCATGCTGACGAAAAATAATTTTGTTTTATTATTATATTTTGATACGGACAGGTCTGAGCTCATGAATTCATGTCAGCAGAGCCCACTTTGAGGGAGGAATTAATACTTACCAGAGCTAGCGTTTTATTATCTGCATAATTCAATAACAATTACTAAAGAAGTAGTCAACATATAAATGTTCCTCCCTTCTGACTCTATAGAACTGAGCCAAATTGTTCGGTTCTAATCTTAATTTTATTCTCGAGGTTGAAAACGAGCACATGAAACTGTACCTATGCACTTATTTATTCTCAGACAGGAATTTTTAACCTCGGGGTACAAAAAAATATTTATTGGAGGTTATTAACAATCCTGACGAAGTCAGACTAATGTGTACCCACACTATTCCCTTAGCATAAATATATAGAAAATATCAGTACTGGTGTTCTATTATACAAAGAACTATTCTCTCGTAAGCTGTCATTGCAGCATAATCATTCAAGTCTGTTAATGCTGCACCAGACCTCTGACGCTCAGTCACCTGTCATTACCTGAGAGTGTTGGACCATCGATTTCATATAAAACTCACTTATAGATCGTATAGCTACTGCGCCGCTTGAAAAATCCGAATCACAAAAGAACAAGGTTATTATTGGTTATTTTTATTCTTGAGAAAAGAATGAATATTATTTATTATGATAATAATAATAGTATTTATGGTAATGAAAATAAATGAGCGGGCCGCATATATTTTTTCATGTTTCATTTCACTCCTGTAAAGCCTAATTATTCATTAAATTGTTTTTTTTTTCATTCAATAACAGCCGTATATTATAATATCATTGGCATAGAATGCGAGTTATCATAGATTATCAGGACATCCTCACTGAAGAATTCACTCGTAATTTTCTTACAATTACCAGAAACTTTCATTACCACAATAGTTCAGGTAGGCTTAGAATTCCATCTTGGTTATTTGTTAGGTCACATAATTATTAAAGAAGAGAATAGATCAATGAAGAATATATGAATTAATCATGATAATTATGAACATTATGTATCCACGAATAGTAAACGCACAAATTTTAATTGTCATTGAACAAGCTTCACTTCATCGTTATACATGGTAAGGGCTTGGACAGATAATTTTTAGACATCGTGACACGCTGGAAAGTCTTTTAAAGACTAATTTTAGTAATAGTTACATGAGGCAAAGATTCAGATAAAATTAGTTCACGTGTTATTCACGTGAACTAATTTTATAAAATAAAATAAAATAAAATAAAATGTTATAAAATAGATAAGGAATAAATTGATTATCTCAAATAATAATGAAGTCATTTTCTATGTCAAATAAAACTGATCAGAATAGGTAACTCGCTGAATAATTTTACTTATTTTTAATCGCCTAACGAGATGAAATTTCTGGCTTTGCATCTCACGTGGCTATATATTCAATTACATCACATTGTGAAGAAAAATTCGAGTTCACTTTGGTGAGGCTTAACGATGATTCGTTGGAGTTCGTATTGATTTCTACAAAAATCGAAGACGCAAAACTTAAAGAATGAACGTGAATATACAAATATATCATTTTAAATTTCATAATATTAGAGTAAAACCGACAAAATAAAAAACAAACATCTGTGGCAAACAAATAAGAATAAAGCTCCTATCGAATCATCGAGAATACTGGGTTGATTTTGCCATGAGTAAAATACGAAAATAATTTTATTTAGAAGGAAATTTATTTATATCAATAATTTTACTTAGTAGTTGTTTTAATAAGCAACGAATTCGTTAGTCGTGGTTGTGGTTCCACCGCGAACATACGGGATATGAAGCTAGCCGACTGACCGCATCCAATACACATCGCATTGAGAATGAACGTTCGGAGACGTTGGTTATTATACATTATTAATAATACAGGAGATTGGTTAATATATCATATGATATACATCGCTCGAGCGTGCAGCAGGTCGCACGACGATGAGCTGTAGAGAAGAATTAATGTAAGAATAATGTATATGATAACACATTCTGGTAAAAACACGTTAAATATTTTTGATCACATTCCTGAACACAAAAACAACGTAAAATTATATTGTATCTCGATAGCTCGTATATTTGTGACTAGATATCACGCAATGTTTAATGATTGGCTCGAAATTTATGGAAGAATTTTTTGTAATATTTGGAGGAGCGCTTTTTGAAAGTATCATCTATATGTCATTAAAACTATTTCGAATTAACTGTAATTCGAAATTGTAATTCGAAAGTAATTGTATTAATTGTAAAATCTCAAGCATTTGCAAAATTACCGGTGATGAAAATACTTTAATAATAAAGTGATAGTAGTAATTAGTAATATAGTAAAAGTATCTTCTTTTCAAGAGGATTAGTTTCCATTAAAATGATGCTTCGTAACTTTTGATTATAATTCAGATTTTAAGCTGATTTCGTTTTTCCATGCGCCTGATAAATAGAATGGTTTCTTTATTATATAATTGTTCATTTCAAATTGCATAAATTTTTTCTGAAAATTAATTTGTTTGTTGCTCGTTTTTAATCATGAACATGTAAAAATATATAAATTATTGCAGCATGACAGCAAATTATATGTAGGAGTAATCGGTCAAATGTCAATGTGTAGACGTAAGCAAGATCAATGAATATTTTTTATTCAGGACATGGCATCTTATCAATATCTGTAGAAACATTCAAGTAAGTAATAATAAATAAATCTAATTACCGCAAAATATTATAACATATTTTTGAGTTCATCCGAATGAAGCCTTTATAACTTCCTATTCTTATTATTATTATTATTATTATTATTATTATCATTATTATTAATAATAATTTTTGTAACATTTATATCTTCTATCAGAATGTCAAATATTGGTAGTTCGTAGCAACATTAGGGGCAACCTAATATCACTAGCCTGATATATTCTGATATATTATTTTTTATATCCATACTGACCTGACGTTAGAGTGTATGTGCTTTGGGTTAGGGTTCCAGCCACGGTAGTTCCATTTCCAGCCACGGTAGTGTCCGTTCCAGCCACTGTCGTGTCACCTCCAGTCACGGTAGTTACACCTCCAGTCACGGTAGTTCCACCTCCAGCTGCTGTCGTACCACCTCCAGCCACTGTCGTACCACCTCCAGCCACTGTCGTGTCACCACCAGCTACTGTCGTACCACCTCCAGCCACTGTCGTGTCACCACCAGCTACTGTCGTACCACCTCCAGCCACTGTCGTACCACCTCCAGTCACGGTAGTTACACCTCCAGTCACGGTAGTTCCACTTCCAGCCACAGTAGTTCC